CCTAAGTGATATTGAATAGGTTTTTTGGTGGATTCGAATCTCTAACAGCTATTAACATTGAATTACTTGAGAAACTATTTCTCCATCATCCTTGCAGGAGCCTCAAACATCTTCCAGCCGCATAATTATAATCCATGGTGTGACAAAAAAAAAGTCGTGACGATATAATAATAATAATAATAATAATAATAATAATAATAATAATAATAATAATAATAATAATAATAATAATAATAATAATAATAATAATAATAGTAATAATAATAATAATGATAATAATAATAATAATAATAATAATAATAATAATAGTAATAATAGTAATAATAGTAATAATAATGATAATAATAATAATAATAATAATAATAATAATGATAATAATAATAATAATAATAATAATAATAATAATAATAATAATAATAATAATAATAATAATAATGATAATAATAACAGCAATAGCAATAATAATAATTTTAAAAAATAATAATGTAACAATGGTGATTTATCACACTGCAGTCTTCACTTGGAACAGTTTAAGGAACAGTCAAATTCTGTTGAAAACTGTTCTATTCTATTCTTTTGGGCTCAAAAAAACCTTTATTCTATTCCAAAACGTTCCTTCCTCATTTGCGAACTGTTCTATTCTATTCCTTAGAATAGAACAGGAATAGAATAGTTTAACTGGAATAGAGACATCACTAATTAGGAGATCGCGTTAGGGCATTTGTCTACTCAGGTGATGAGCAGTAAGTTAACGTTGAAGCGAAGCGCGATATTAGATGAGAACTAAATACTATATAATAGAAGGAGCTATCAGAAAAGTTATCGTTCAGATGGATCAGTGTAATGAAGATAAGTTAGTGCTGCGGTGTTAATTTACGAAACTGCAGCGGCAGACGATTGCTGGCCGATAAAGAATTTGTTGTTGTACTCGTTCATCGACATGTATCATTGCTGCGTCGTCTTTTTCATCGCCCTCTTCTCAGTCACTCAACAGCTACTATTCAATCACAATTCTATTGATTAAGAAGATGAAACTTCATATTTATTCACCTTTAATGAAATCACATTTTGCAATTCAAGGAATGTCAATTCAAACTTTCGTTTTCATATTCATCGACATTTGATCACTTCATTTCTTTGCATTATTCTCAGAATTATGATCTCAAGTTTAAATAAATCGATGAAGTTTCCTGAACGTTTAAAGTAAAATCATTATGGCTGACATGAGCAAATTCATGGAGCAATTAATTCATTTGCGGAGAGGTGAGAAAGAAATGCTAATGAACAAACGTCTATTGAGGAACTACCCAAAGTTGATTTTGTTCAACAATCAAAATTAGTCGATAGGCAGAGAAAGAGAATTCGGGAAAAATTTTCAGAAGAGGTTGATAAAAGTACGGGAAAAATTCTTTTTACGTACTTAATTCATAATGAATGAAAAGTGAAATGAAGTAATCAATGATTAACTTTCTCAACAATGACTTCAATCAGATTTCTAAAGACAATTCAAAAAGATTTCCTTTCAGCAACGCCATTAGATAACGCTCTCTAAAAACATTTTTGAGCACTATTCTTGAAAAAAGACTGAATTCTCAGTGATGACTTTTTCGATCTATTTAGTTAAGGTTTCTTTCATCAAGGACACATTGGAAAGATTTTATGATACTGCATATTGTTTATACCTAATCAAAATTTTTTCCTTACAAATGTGCAACAATCCTCTTAATGTGGATTCTGACAGCTTTGTTCATCCAGTCATAGCTGGTGTTATACCTTGTGCTTCACTAAGAGTCTATCATTTTTTTTTCATATATCTAAGAATCATTGAGCGGAAAAGTTGATCAGTACAATTTTTTAATACGAACTATCGTTTTTTTTTGCGATAGTTTTTAGAATTTTCAAATCGTATATGGATTTTGAATATGTGATTGATAAACAAACTAATATCAGTTTTGTTCTATTTCGAATATTCTTGGTGAATATCTCATTCAAATCCCATGAAATAGCCCAGGGATTGGTCCCAAGATTCCTTTTATAGGCTCTTATACAAACGCTCTTCCGGGGTTGCATTCGATGAAATCAGTTGCCGTAAAGGAACCTCATCTCTGAAACAGTCGTAAATTTTCTTGAGAAATGAATATTGAAATGAATTTTTTATCATCTCGTTCTTGAAACGTTGAGCCTTTATTTGATGCAACAACCTCATTGTCAGCTACTTAATTTAACATGAAAAAAAAAATGTTATTTTGCATGTTTATGTGATACGCGTATTCGTTTTTAGAGGCGTTTCCATTTTAAATGATGCTTTTTTGATGATCGATTTATTCATTCGGTCACAGTCATCGATTTCTGCAATGAAAAATTGAGTGCATCCGTTAATCGAAACGGCAGCAATGCTTGCCTTCAGAAATCACTCAGAAATGCAATGAAATGACAACCAAGCGGCTATCCCACTGACACATAACATTCGCTATTCTTATCGTACGATAAGTCATCTATCTACCTTCAATTCTACTGCAGTTATCCTTCTCGTACTTGGAGCTATTCGACAGGCTGATTGCAATATGACAGCGTTCCGTCGGCAGGTTCGTTCGGTTTCTATCAATGTTTCATTGCATAATAAGAAGAGTTCTCAACATCGTTTATTGAACAGATCAAATTGCATTTTAAAATTACCGTTGAGAATAATGTATGTATGCATTAAGTGAGAATCATGAAGACAAAGTAAACATTTTCAAATCATTTCCAACATGGTTGTCACTCGGAGATATTTTGTAAAACTGAAATATCCGAGAAAAAACAAGTCGTACACTCGTTCATCCATGTTTTGCTACAATTTGTTGTCAATAAAACAAATCCATTCGAATCGGAACCAATAAACGATCCTCAATGAAGACCATGCAAGTATCAGAAGAAAACGAAGATGACTCGAAAAAAAAAACAGTTGATAAGATGTTATGTGAACGTACTAAAATTTCGAGCCATGAAGGAAAGTGAAACAGACTTCATTCATTCTCAAAGTGATTTTTAGAGTAAGTTCTAGATAAGAAAAACATTGAAAGAGTGAAAAAGTGAAGATGTGCTATTGAAAACGACAAGAAGTAGCAATAAGATGGCGCATTGGATCGTTAAATTTTGTCTTTTTCACTATATGTGCTGAACGGAAAGAAATGGATTGCGAGAAAGAGCTTACATAAACATTTTTGCATCGCTATTCAGTAGAGTGCAATGATCAACGACTTCGATTATTCCATTCTTATTTTTCAAAGAAGTTCTTACTTCAAAATGATCAGCGATCGATCAGTTGCATCTGAAATCAACATTTTCTCATTTATTCATGCGTTTTAATTCAATTAAATGTGTCCATAATCCGTAATACACATAATGAATTTTGGGCAATGACTGCAACGCATGTATTCAAAAATGGATTCCTTTCATTTGGAATTAGTGCCATTTTGATCCCATATTATATTATGAATAAATGAGTATGTTAAATAATACGAATTAGAATGCATAGAGTTTTTGAAATTTGAGTTATTCATCAATGAAAATTTGGGACAAAAACGTTTTAGCTTTAAAGTTTTTTAGCTCTAAACATGAATGAAACGCTTCACCAAACGGTAACTCATTTAAGACTTGAAATCTACAAATGTCACTCTTCAACTGCTCACCTTCGTGAAAAGCTGAGGGAAACGGATAGTTGGGTTAAATAGTAATTTGTCATTATAATTGAATTGTTATTATTGTTGTTGGTGGTAGTCGTGTGTGTTTCGGAAATAGCTGCTTTCTTTATGGAATAATAGAGTATGTTAATAATAATGTTCAAAATTCGAGTGAATTGTGAATGAAGCATGTCATATAATATGTATGTGTGCGTGTGAGTTAGGGCAATCCAACAAGAAAGTCTAATGGTGGTTGGTTGATCCGTTGGGATTATTACTGCTTGGCTTGTTTGTGCTTGATCCTTGCATTCATGCTTTGTCAGTCGGTTAAGTGCACACTTTTGCAACTGCTTCATACGTTCCAGTTGTGATCACGCAAATATTCTCTCTTGCATTCAGACGTGTTCCTTCGTTCTTCTTTACTCACACTGAATACAACAACTCATCGTCTGCTATTAATGATAGCCATCGAGCACACAATGAAACGCAACTCTCTTTTCGCTCTTGAAACTTCCTTAGTTATCGAACTTTATTTTTTAAAAATTATTCTTTTCGCCCATTTTATATCTATTTCATTCATCGGTCGACACTTGCGAAAGTTGCGGTTCATACTCAACTGAATGTGCAACTTCATAAATGTATTTTGCATATTTTAAATGCTTCATTTCTGCTCCATATTTGATTCTACGTGAAAAATTCATATCGCAAGCAAGCTGTGAGATGGCAGGCATGTATTATACATTTTCGAAGTGAGCGCATTCTCACTCCAAATTATTATCACATCAAAATCAGTGGTGCATTCATATCCTATTTTGGTGACTACAAATTGATACTTTCCCGAAGATTGCTTTTAGCATAGTATAGTATACATAGATGAGCAAACATATCAAATGTTTTTTTATTTCAGTGAACAGTATAGCCATATAATTTGTTCTTTAATCTCATTCATTCAGTTTTTGAAGCATATTTCATTCTCGTAATGTAGGCGTTTGGTTTTCAAAGTGAGTCTGTCTCATTTGTTTGTTTTGTACTAAATTTCAACAATTTGTGCTAAATTTCAAAATCTCAATCAACAGTTTTGAGGTTTTATTACTGATTAGCATTGAGGCAGCTCATTGACGGTGAGGAAGTGAGTTGTAAACGAAATAAATAAATGAAGAAGCGATCGTTATAATATATTACATAGACATGCGTTAATCCTTTGATGACCTATTGAAGAAGTGGTTTAAGGTGGATTATTCAAGGAAATATGGTATATCATGTATATCAGTTCAGTAAGTAACGTCAGCTTTTCCCTCCCCCCTCTCATCGCCCGTCATATTGCACCTTCCCCAGGATATGTGTACGGTAAACGTGTTTTACAAATGAAAACGGAATAGTTCAACTACAATGATAAAGCAGCACCATGAAGCGGTCTCAATGTGTGCTCATAAACTTCGTCGAAGATTTTGAATTGTTAATCGATTTCTTCTTTGCATCAAGCATTAAATGAGATCGCCAAGCAAATATTTTTTATTTATCCATTTTCGTTTGCCAAAAACTTTATGTTAACGCATCTTCCTTCTTAGCGTTACTTAAAAAAATTACATACACATATTCGCCTACTTTTGACTGCGATTAGCCGTAGAGAGACCGCAAGTCAATAATTGCCTGCATATCACATCTGTCATAGACTAGGCCAATATATTTACATCGTATTCCAAAAAATCGGACAGTCTGGCAATCTGTAAACTATTATATTATACGCTCAATTTGTTTTACAGGGGAGTGGCGATTCTAATTACAGTCATCATGAAAGCGACTTCGATATGGATGAAGGAAACCGCGAAACGTTAAGACGAGACGCAGAGCGTTCCGCTGCTTTGCAGCTCGAAAGGGCAAAGGTGTTTTCTGAATTCGTTGAGATAGTCTCATGAACGCGTCTTGTTATCATTCTCCAGTCTTCGTAATACATTTCCATGAGCAGAGTTTTAAAATTGCTGATGTTATTCGTTGTCGTTCTATGGTCACATCTCATTGAGTTGATCTGGCAACTCACTGTCGCTATCTTAGATTTGTTTTCCAGTGATGCTCATCACTGGTTCGAATAGAATTTCTCATAATTCATCTGATAGAAATAATCAGCAAACATTTGGCGTCAAATATCCTTTCATTATGAAATCAAAATGAGATAAGATTTGAAATATGTAATGAAAAGCATATGCACGTGAGGTTTATAGACACTGACCATGATTATAAAAGGTAGGTGCTGAGGAAATAAATCGAATTTAATCTTCATTATTCCAGTACAAACCAGTTGCTTTCGCGGTATGCACGAATGTCGAATTCGACGGTTCAATTGATGACGATTCACCAGTTCACGGTTGTGCGGTATCGTTCAAAGTTAAAGATTTTTTGCATATTAAAGAAGTAATTTCTTTTACTCGATCTGTTTCTCTTTCTCATTGGCATTTGATTTAGCTTATCTCTTTCTCATTTCTTATCAAATTCAAAAATAATTTCCTTCCAGCTAAACATTTTTTCTTTCAGAAATACAACAACGACTGGTGGATTGGTAGACTTGTGAAAGAGGGTCATGATCTTGGCTTTATTCCCTCTCCAGTCAAACTTGAAAATATCAGGCAACAGACGGCCAAAGGGTCCAAATTGTAAGTTAGCTGACCTTTTTTTTCTCTAAACAATCGTGGTATTTTCTTTGTGAAATTCAAAGTTGCCGGGTAATAAACGAAGTGATTTATCCGTTGTATAATTCAAAAATTCAAAAGCTTTCGGATGAAAGCTTTTAGTTTTTAATCACTAAATTAGCATATAATTATTTATTTGGATAGCGATAGCGTGAGAAATGTACAATTCATTTGCAGTAAGCAATCATCGAGTGCAACGAATCTTGGTGCTTTAGATGATATGATGCCAAGAAGTGGCTCAAGGGGTTCCACACCACCCACGCCAGGTTTTTCACTTGGCGTTTCCATCGTTTTGTTGATCTTTTTATTTTCCAAAATATGAATACTGCGTCTTCAAGAATCCGTAACTTCCTTCTTCTGTGGTATTGAATGAAAATAACTTTTTTGATCGATACTGTATCAAACTTGATACTGAATTGATCAATCCATTTATGAGGTTTCGTTAACTGATCACATCAATAGGTCAATAGCGTCACATCAATTGCGTTTTTTGAAGGAGAACAAATAAAATGAATTGAATGCAAATTGTTTTGCTTCACTTTTGATCGAATACATCACTCAAAAATATTAACCACTTATTTTGCTTCAATATTATCTGAAAAAAATCAGGTGGTGAATTAGATGAGGAAGAATATGGACATGGAAGAAAGATCACTGACTTGGTGACTACACCACCACCCGTAAAAGAGAAAAAGAAGCTGATGTTTAAGAAGGTTCGTTTTGTTTCGATTCTTTTGCATTCTGTCCGAAGTAAGTCTCGTTTACAAATTTTTTATTACAATGATAAGTAGGTAAACTTGATGCTCGTAAACGATCATTCAAAGTTCTTTTTCTCGGTTTTCATTGACATTTCTGAGAGCAGAACGAATTCGCATGCAGTAAATATGGGAGTGAAAATTCTTCGACCAATTTTGATCGTAAACAATGCGTTTAGCTTTTTGGTTGTATCGTTAGTTTAGCTATTTCTCAACAAGATGCTAGTTAGAAACAAGCAGTTATGGATCAGCATTGTCGCATTCACGCTTCGTAAACTGTAACGAGATTCAATGCTGCGTGAGTGAATGAAACGTCAAAATAGAAGTGAAATTCAGCAAGAAAATGTGCCACCCTATGATGTTGTGCCTTCGATGCGACCAGTGGTGATTGTTGGTCCCTCACTGAAAGGATATGACGTTACTGATATGATGCAAAAAGCTGTCTTCGATTATCTCAAACATCGTTTCGAAGGAAGGTGAACGTGACTGAATTTATCAGATTCATTTCTCTGGCTGAATCTAATGAGCAAGATGTCAATGAGCAATACGATTTTTCAGAATAATAATAACAAGGGTTACTGCAGACATTTCTCTAGCCAAACGTACTCTGCTGAATAATCCCTCAAAAAGAGCCACTATGGAACGAGCCAATTCAAGGACAAGCAACAGCCTCGGTTCGTGAAATTTTCGCATCACAAATATCACCCTAAAAGGTTGTCGACTATTCAAGAGTCTTGCCGAAAAACAAAACTGCCACTTATTTGATCCTTTAGAGAGGATCACAACAAATCCTTACTCATACAAGGCAGAAACTGCAATTTGATTTCTATTTTTCAGCTGAGATTCAAAGTGAAGTTGAGCGGATTTTCGAGTTAGCACGTTCAATGCAACTTGTTGTGCTCGACTGTGATACCATCAATCATCCATCTCAACTCGCTAAAACTTCGCTTGCTCCCATTCACGTGTACATAAAAATAAGTTCTCCTAAGGTTCATAACTACATATGCAGTTTAATTTGTTATCTGAACTGGGTTTTCACTTACATCCTTCTAACATCAACGATTTTTTCCAACTGGCGCACTTTTTTCTGCTGTGGAAAAAAGCATAACAGCTGTTGCATCATTCCTTTCAAGACTTTAACGACATTATTTGTTTACCGTAACCGTTTTTATACAACTCTTCCATCTGTCGGTGCATCAGTCAGTTGATATTTGTGTGAGATACGCAATCATATATTCTAGGTGCTACAAAGGTTAATCAAGTCGAGAAATAAGTCGCAAACGAGGAATATGAATGTTCAAATGGTGGCCGCTGAAAAGCTTGCCCAATGCCCTCCAGTTCGTTTCGAATTTCTTTGTACTTCTCCACAAGCACGAGCAGAGGACTGTTTTTGTAGAGATACTGTTGCTCATTGACTGCAATTTACCGATGAACTTCAATCTCACGAAAATTTCATTCATGAAATCATTTTTTCAACGCGAAGGTTTTTCAAACAGAATTTTGCAAGAAAATCGACGTCAATATCATATGAGCTCTCTGATCGATTGAACTGCTCATACTCCATAGCATAATGAGCGATAAACATTGCGCAATACTGCACTCTCAGTCGCTGTTTCCTCCGAAAATGTTTATTTTTTAAGCATTTTTTCAGCTGTTGCCAAGTATATCATCTTCAGTGAATGCATTCATTTTCCATCCTTCTAACATTTTATGCCCAAATTGCAAATATCGAACTGATAATGTAGTCAATTTAAAAAACGTTTCAGGAAATGTTTGATGTTTTGCTGGATGAAAATCAACTGGAAGATGCATGCGAGCATCTGGCTGATTACTTGGAATCGTATTGGCGAGCAACGCATCCACCCGTTAAGTCACCACCCAGAATCAAACGAAACCCGATGGAGAACCGTGGACCATCGACACTTTTTACACCAGCTCAAATGATGCAAGGTGCGTCTGTAGGAATATTGCTTTGGTAAATGAGGCACTAGCGATAAGCTGATTGCCAGAATTATTCAATTTACAGGACTGAATCAAGGACAAGTTCCAAACGCGAATCTGCCAATGGGGGCAAGTAGCATAGGTATGCAAAATACTAGAAACACCTCCCAGTGTGTGCCGACAATCAATCTTCCTCCGGTTAGCAAATACAGGGAATTTGAACTGGTGAACGAACGAATTGAGCAAAAGTAGTGAAGTGATCAGCAATTTTCAGCCTTCGAATGCGAGTTCTTCGTCTCTTTATGGTATGCAAGCAAGTGCATCACCATACGACGATACAATACAGCCACAGGCTGGAGTGGCCCGTATGGGTGTGCCTTCATTGGTACCGCCTGGTGCACAACGCTATCGACAGGATCAACAGGGCTTTGATGAGTACGACGAAGAGGATTTTCGTCCGAATGGAGCTACTTCATATGATACACGGCCTGGATATCGATATTAAGCATTATTACTGCTTTCATACATGCACACGTACAACCATAGACTGTATCATATACAGAATATTTTCTAGTTTAATAACGAAGTCAATCAACTTTGCTCAATAATCAATGCTTTCACTTGTCAATTGTGAACTGAAAACCATATCCAGTCTGAACGAATCATTGAAATATCTCATTGATAAATGATTGATGTGCTTGGCAAGGAGCAGCACTGTTACACTCGCTCATTCATTTTAAGCATCGTTCGATGTTATTTAATTTCAACTTTTTAGCATTTATCCTCACTAAAACGTCTATCGTAGCTAGCTGATTCCTCGATTGATGTTGTATTTGTACTCATTCATAATAAGTAAAGCAAAATTATCGACGCAGTAATAAAGCAAGATTATCGACTAATTCGGTTACATCCTATGATTGTTACTTTGTTTTGTTTTAATGCATACCTTATTCCTGAATTTCTCATGCACTCAGCTAATTGTGAGAGACATTTCCAACTTGATGCACATGTATGTTTTGCCTTCTTGAAAAAGGAACGTATGCTTTTAGAGTAATGATTTAGGTTAACGTCTGTCTAACCGCTTAACGCTAAAACCATTAATGCAATGTTAATCTGAAGAGAAGCACTTATGAAGATCTGTTCCGAGTTGAAATTTCAAATTCAAAGACCTAATTATATATGCTTATCTAAAATAAGTAAGACTGTTTGATGTAAAAAAATCATCTCATCGAGAAATTCGTTCTGATCTGTATTCATTTGTTCGATTTCATAAATATGATGCTGGACCACCCAAGATACATGCAATTCCTTTCACAGGCAATTGTTGTGCCTTACTGAAGTGAGACTGCGATTCGAAAGTTAGCAAGCTATATACTTGACTCACACATACGCCAAACTCAACTGAATATTCAGCTCGATTTTATTATCATATGTAGAAATTGAATGGTTGATAACAGATGATGAAATAAAAGTAGAAATAAAAAACTATAATGAATTAAACGGCAAAATCCGTAAAAACTATAAGAACTTGATCGGTACAAGTGTATTAATTGCAAAAATGAATGAATTTTTTGTAATCAGTACAAGTTTTTTTTTGATGAGTTAGTGGATTCAGTTGAGTTACTAAACAGTTACAACTAGTGTTTCTGACAATCTTGCTCCCCCACTTTTTGTCGGAGTCCCCCTCCCCTTCCACTTTGCTCCCCGAAGAGCTCTCCTCCGCCGGTCAAAAAATTGCCCCCGACAAACACTAGTTACAACAAATAAGGCAAAAGAACGAATAAATTATCAAGTAAACGAGATCAAAACATTAAAAAAGCAACAATGATACTTAATATGATAATTCAGAAAACTGAACAAAAATACAATGACCGTTCACTAAAGCAACCAATACAGGAGTGAACAGTCAACTTATGCTGAAAATTTTGATGAAGAAATTAGCAATGAAAAAAGACCAAGAATAAAACAGAAAACAAAACAAAAAAGCACTCAACATGACTTGCTTATAAAATACTGCAATCCTCAATTGATATCAATAATACAAGAATATTAAGCCAACAGGCAAAGATTATTTAGCAGCGATTAAAAATATAAAACAGTGCAATTTCCAGAGATTCGATGTGAAACTACAGTAAAAACATCGGAAGTACTGTGACACAAAAATATTGAAAAGAAAATTGAAGGACGCATTAAAATGATGTTCAAAATTATAACGAACGACAATTACAGTTTGTAAATAAGTCTATGCATTGCACAGATGCACTGTTCAAGAATATTTATGCATGTGAAAGAATGACGAATGAATTACTGGTTAAAACCAAAAGCTGATAGAAAATTGAGAGACACAATCGAGAGTTGACCATGAAACTGAATGTGTCGAAATTGAGATTTTACCGATACAACCTCGGAATGGATTTAAAAACATTGCGCTTTCAACAGGAGTTCTTTTTACTGATAGCACTGTTGATGATGCTACATTCGTACAGTGCAACAATTAAGAGGCATTTTTAGATGACCACTGAGAACAATAATGAAGAACAAGTGCTATTTCAATGAATCATCAAAACACACCAATAATCATATTCATTCATGCGAGGTGGATGCAACTAATTCATCTTTGCAATAGAATGGACTATACGGACAACCGATAAGTTCATCAGCAATACGTCCAGCCTCGCGTAAACCCGACAGCAACGCGCCGTGTACCTACAAGTGTTATTGTTCAATTCTGCATCCATTTAACGTCACAGTATTACTCCATATGCGAAAACCTAATCTGGTTGAAAAAAAAAACGACATAAACAATTGCAAGGAAAAGCTTTTGTCGACGAAAAGCACTGACTGCAACGCATCTCATTCAACAACAAATTTCATTACCGATGCAGGATAGTTACGATTTGTATGCTCTCCAGCGAAGAAAATTTTTGGTTCGCCACATTTACTATAAACGGGTGCAGCCAGTTGATCATATGTATCGCCTGAATTGCAAAACATTGTCATAACACAATGGCAAACTATCATTTAGTGAAAGTAATTATTTTATTGCAATAGAAGCTGTCAAAATATTTTTTCTCATATCATCATAATGGATCCCATGTAGCTCCTTTGTACAAATAGCGATGGGACAGTAATCTGACCGTTTTCCATAATCATTCGTTGGAATATTCGTAAATTTGCTTTAGCCGAGAAAAATATTTGGTATTTTGAAGTGATCATACTTTGAAGCATGAGTTTTTGATTATGGTCTAAGCCCATTCTTTAAAAATAAATTCGAACTGAAGTGATCTTATCGATCACCTTGATCAATTACACTTGGTCAATTAATTAGCATTACTATGTTTACGAAATTCTGAAAATAAGTTGTTGAGAAAATAAGATCAACCCGATGATTTTGGCGAAATATAACTATAGCAACCACGCGCGAATAAATCCGATTGCCATTTCGTGATTACAGAATCGATTGGCTGAAGAAAATTTTTTAAGAATAAAAAGAATTGAAAATCATTAAGAATTGAAAATCAACATTAAGAATTGATAATCATTCATATAAGTTTCATTCATATGAGCTCCTTATGAAATTAGTTTACAATAACGAAAAAAAAAACTTTTTTGTTCTATAAAACAGTTGAAAATAAAAACGACGATAATATGAAATACTCGATTATAAATGAAAAAAACACCTCCTTAGGACATGATGCTCCAAAAATGGATGAAAGAATTTTCATGGCTTTGCTCAAAATAATCTCATCTGGAAGAGTTTCAGTCACTGAAGCACCTTCACCAGCCATCATGGCGATTAACACTGGCATATCGCATACCGGATAGAAAATATAGAATTCGCCACGAGACAAACTGAAACTGAGTATTAATAAATGTTGATAAATATTGCATAGAAGTTGCTCGAAATGAGCAGTTCCTCGCGCTGCAAACTTATCCATCAGAAAGCATTGAACAACAACTACACACATTAACATCGTCATGTCTCATGGAAGACAATGCCAAAGAATCTATCTGAAGATATCAATGCTATAATCTAAATAAACTTTTAAGTGAGCGAATGCAGTATGAATACCCACCTGCTTTCAGACGTATGACCGAATGCTTGAAGTTGATTCCAGAATGGCTTTTCGAAGATAAGGATCACCTGTATTAAGGGAGCAGTTACAGTAAAGGAAGGTCAAGGCTTTGCAGTTTCTTAATTTCATTGCGACTTGTTAATTTTTGTTTTCTGTTTAAAATGGTGCATCATGATCAGTCGATTTACATGAAAACTCTTTAACTGATTGGGCATTATTATTGCAATGGTTGCAAAAAAATTCTTCGAAATAATTTCCGCGAGCAAATGTACAGACAACGAACGTTCATCACAATAAACAATCTGATAATCATTCCGATTCTAAAATGTAAATTAAAAATGGTTAACAGATAACCGTGAATTCACCTTGTTGAGATTCCCAAATCCAAGCGACTGAATCGCTCTAATCTTCCACACCGGAAGTGCGGGTATGAAAATAGGAGCTTGGTTGATATGTTCAACTGAATGCTTCAATACTCCTAACGGTAGTGTACATAGACAAACGTCTGCTCTGTACATGTATTCCTCACCACCATATCGGCACTTAATTTTCACCTCTGAAGAAGAATAATCAATTTTTTTTCCGGCATAAAACTGCTAAAATCTAACACTGAAAATCGAAAAAATTGCAAAAAATTCTCCAATTTTTTTTGTCGGTCACTGAGAAAGAAAAGCAATAGTTCAGAGGCAAACAGCTACCATCGTCAACATAAGCAATTTTCTCGACAACTTGCTCCAACTCAACTTTCAAACCATTCGCCAATGCAGTTGTGAGTGAATCGAAACCATTTCGAACTGAAACATGATAAATAACATTTCTAAAAGATCACATACATACATCAAACGTCCAGAGTCTCGGCTGCATTCTGTCATTCTGACGCTATGAGCTTGAGAAAGCATGTATTCATAATGAAAACGGCTTTTGCGGAAAGAGGACTTAATTTGTTGAACCTTTTTGAGGAGTGGATGAATGAAGAATTATTTGAAATGATTAATAAATTTTTGAAAAATTCAAACACTGATGAAGTGCTATAAAAATGAAGTTCAATAATCGAATAAAAACCATTTCGTTTTCCAAAATGTTTTGAAGAACTAAAATTGAAGTGTTTTCAAACGAGGGACAAGGAAAAGATGGATAATAAGATAATGAGTAAAAGAGAGCATTTGAAGAGGTAACGAAGGTCGAAGGTCGAGTGCTCTCAAAAGATCGCATAGAAAAGCTCATATAATATAATGTCACTAACACTAAGAGCAGGTGGTTAAAATATTAATATGTCGTTTTTCATAACTGAACGATAAACGGAAATGAATGGCAATAGTAAACGATTTCGTATGCAAATTTTGTGAACGATTAGCGCTCAATGACCACTAAACAAATGATATATTCCATGATTATACACATAAAATGGAACAATATCAAGTTAGAACGAAATAACATAATAAGTAAACAACTGAAAGTGTTTCACATTCTGAATAAACCGACTGATTATGAGTGAAATATTTCAAAAAAGAGTTCAAAAATAGACGGTTAATCAGAATCAGAACAGAGTTGCATAAACAAATGAGATTACACTTCAAGCAAGCGCAACTACTGTTTCAGTTCATGCATTCACTGGCTGCACTCAAACCCTGAACTATATTTTATCATAAATTTTGACACAAATTAATGCGACTTTCGAATTTCTGAACAAATGATTGAATTGTGTTTTGTCGTTTTATTACATTCGGTGATCGCAGGTGGCAGTGGGAATGATTACGGTAGCTGATGACCTATACGGTGAAACGCCAATCTAGCTTCAATGCCAATATGAAGAGTACTTCAGGCAGATGAATTAGTTTTTTTACGAGGCGATCACACCGATATGTTATCCTCTCTTCAGCAAATATCCACCATCATCTTCTCGATGAACACTTGAAACGCTAAATATACAGATCTAATTACATATCTACAGAGAACTAGTGATCTTTCAACAATCACATCACCATGTTATTTTCCAATTTTTTTTTGCTTCAAAACGAAAAAAAAAAGTTTTTACATTCATACAACTGAAAAAGGAGGGAATGACTCCATTCCAAAATCATTCGATCCAAATCTAAAATCAATCCAAAAATAACTAGTCTATTCGAGAGAAACATAAGGGTTTTATGATGGAGACTATGAGATTAACAGTTTTCCTCATTACGCTGCCAAAAAGTGAATTCATCAAGATTCAGTATGGAAATACTTGTTTTAAAAACGCTTCTAGAGAGTAACAATATTTGCTCTCTGAATGCTGCTTCTGAAGATTGTCTCTCAATCTGTAAACATCAAGCCACAAATCACACAAACAAATCCATCCCCTCACTGAAGCAATGCCAGAATTGGTTATATTCAACGAGCAAGCATTACAGTATCTTATTTCTTTGCCATAAACAAACGATCATCACAGATGAAAAGAAATGTTACTGATGTAAAACAAATGAATCAAACTCCCCCGGAAATAAGTGATCCATCCCTTCATTATGCCGCATATCCACTTAACGCTTTTGTTCAGATGGTAGACTCTTAAAAACACTTGTTGTGGCATTTGAGTGTGATGCCTCATCGCAGATGGCTCAAAATGAAGTGTTTTGATGAATCGCTAGAAACGCTTCAAAGGCATTCACTCCATTCACCACTGATTGAATGAATGAATGACTTTCGAATATTTTAATCCCATCTAGCTACCTTACCAATAAAACGTGAACAATCGATTCGATGCCAAAAAACTCAAATTTTTTGGCTCACAAACCTTCTGAGGTTCATTCACGTCAACACCTGAGAACAAAAAATTTTGTGCCACACAATATTTCTGATAATCAAGTTTTTGCAATTTTACGATCTTTGATTGAAGACACAGTTATTTTCATTATAAGTTAACACCCATACAAGTAAGTGTGTGCTCGATGCAAGAGGAACACAGGTTAATGAAGAATTAAAACGGACGAGTAGTGTTGATTTTGTATTAAAAGAGGCTTAAGCTTATGGGTATATGAGCAGGATACACGGGATCGCTTCAAAGATAATTAGGCGTACATTACGCATGATGAAACAATACAGCCTTTACATTATAAACGAATAATCACGCCTTAATAAGGTGAGTGAGAGTATTTTATCCTATATTAGTTAGATGTGCATCAACTTACATGTATGTACAGCTTGTATTTCACTTTTTTTCTATTCAATATTGTCATTTATTTTATCATATTATTACTAATATTCTTATACTGTTACTATTATCATATCAGTATTATTTTGAAACAACATACGTCGACAAAATAATGTACACCTTCATATCTAACACATACTTTACGAAATTTTCCTACGATGAAAAATCACCATCACATTCAGTTTCACCCGTAGATACCACATAAAATTTTGCCTGTTTCATTCAAATTCTAAAACACCCATTTTCTGATTTTTGCACACGGTATAAATTTTTCCACCTGATAACGTAAACTAAAATATTATGATGCGTTCAGAATATAATTTTACACTTGCCGAAATTGTTTCCAAAACTAATCGAAACAAGTGTTGATATGAAAATCGAAATAAAAATTCGCTAAATATATCTCAAGCATTCACTGCTTATCTCTGAACATTGCTATAAACGTTCGACGAAAGTGAAACCTATAAAACACAAAAAATTTAGGATGCAGAATGAAAAATAGAAACATTCAAGAGTCTGAATCTATTTGAGAAGCAATCAGCTAAAGTGCACTGATTTATGCAGTCAACCTCAATAACAAGTTTTTATTTAAAAACTTACCGAGTTTCCGTTTTCGGAAACTGAAAATCAACAAATCATTACTGGTCTCGATCTATTCGGTCGATAGTTTCGATTATTTGTTGCAAAGTTATTCTGAATGTGCATTCATTGAATACAATTCGAAGATTTTGATATTTATCAAAGATAATTCCGTTTGCTTTTAGTTTTTATGGAAATCTTTCAATGTGTTTGTAATTAAGTAATATTTTCGTCGAAAAAAAATCTGGTGCAATTTCTTGAATGATTGAATTCAATCACTCAAGGCAATCACACATGTTTTCGTGAAGAACATGGCAAGGCTAAAGAGGAATGATATTTCGAAATTCACTTCAGATTCATATTCTATATAATAAACATCCTTATAACAGCATTCTGTCATGCCAGAGTCATTAGAGTGAATTATGTATGCATAACAATGACAATCCATTTTGTGTGAACTTAATTCTAGGACAACAACGTGAACTTAATAGCAATGTGCTGGCACTCAATCTTTAGCAACTGTTCAATTATAAACGCTCAATGCAATTATGATTGCAGTGTTACAATTTACCCATCAATTAACTCAATAAATATAATGCAATTTTCATTTTTCCATTATAACCGTCACCAGTTGAAAAG